TCCCCTGGTTCACATATGTGTGAGCCGCATTATGCGCAGGTACGAGAGCCCATTCATTTGGGCCGGACGGGAAGTGGTAAAGGAGGTGACAAAGGGTAGAACCGTCCAGGTTCCAAGCCTGCAGATAAAAATAATAAATGGGTCTAAATGCCTGATTCCTCCTCTGTCTTGGTACAGCTGTAAAATGGTAGTCTGGCATAAACTGTAACATGAAAAATAATATAATCTACTGTAGTCACCCAGTGTAATAGCCAGGCACATCATATTTTATCTGTACTTCCTGTAGACTCTGATAGATGTCAAAACAGAGGACCTCAGCAGAGAGATGGCCATGTCACCCCAAAAGACAGGAATGCTGCAGGATACACTTCAACGGCTTCTGGACCGCCGGGAAGAAGAGCGTCAGTGCAAGGAGCTTCTACAGCTGTATCTGGAGGCTGTGGGAAAGGATGATGTAGATGGCCCCCGGCTTCCAGGTGAGCGAATGGAGCAGATAATACCACCCGGTGCTTTACATTTAACCTCTTGCCACCAAAGTAACACATATGTGCAGGGGCAAGAAGGATGGGCTCTAATGCCTACACACAACACGTATGCGTCCATGGGCGGCAGAGCTTTCTGCGCTGAGACTATGCTTACTGCATGCTCCCAGCACAGTGAACGAGCTGTCAAAGTCAACTGTCAGTGCGTACCAATGATCGGGAGTCGGCAGGACCAGCCCTTCACCAGGTGACCACTGTCACATGCCTGATGAAGGGGTCCTGCAAGACTCCGAAACGTTGCCTTGCTGTAACTATGTGATCGTTCATTAAAACTTTTGGACCCGTATTGATGATCCTCAGTGTGCTGGTGACATTTTCCCTCACTGTGACAGCCATTCACAGTGGACACATGATTGGCCAATCCTTCTCACCCATGGGGCACATACAGTCAGGTCCATAAATATTGGGACATCGACACAATTCTAACATTTTTGGCTCTATACACCACCACAATGGATTTGAAATGAAACGAACAAGATGTGCTTTAACTGCAGACTGTCAGCTTTAATTTGAGGGTATTTACATCCAAATCAGGTGAACGGTGTAGGAATTACAACAGTTTGCATATGTGCCTCCCACTTGTTAAGGGACCAAAAGTAATGGGACAATTGGCTTCTCAGCTGTTCCATGGCCAGGTGTGTGTTATTCCCTCATTATCCCAATTACAATGAGCAGATAAAAGGTCCAGAGTTCATTTCAAGTGTGCTATTTGCATTTGGAATCTGTTGCTGTCAACTCTCAAGATGAGATCCAAAGAGCTGTCACTATCAGTGAAGCAAGCCATCATTAGGCTAAAAAAACAAAAAACAAACCCATCAGAGGGATAGCAAAAACATTAGGCGTGGCCAAAACAACTGTTTGGAACATTCTTAAAAAGAAGGAACGCACCGGTGAGCTAAGCAACACCGGAAGACCACGGAAAACAACTGTGGTGATGACCGAAGAATTCTTTCCCTGGTGAAGAAAACCCCCTTCACAACCCTTGGCCAGATCAAGAACACTCTCCAGGAGGTAGGTGTATGTGTGTCAAAGTCAACAATCAAGAGAAGACTTCACCAGAGTGAATACAGAGGGTTCACCACAAGATGGAAACCATTGGTGAGCCTCAAAAACAGGAAGGCAAGATTAGAGTTTGCCAAACGACATGTAAAAAAGCCTTCACAGTTCTGGAACAACATCCTATGGACAGATGAGACCAACATCAACTTGTACCAGAGTGATGGGAAGAGAGAGTATGGAGAAGGAAAGGAACTGCTCATGATCCTAAGCATACCACCTCATCAGTGAAGCATGGTGGTGGTAGTGTCATGGCGTGGGCATGTATGGCTGCCAATGGAACTGGTTCTCTTGTATTTATTGATGATGTGACTGCTGACAAAAGCAGCAGGATGAATTCTGAAGTGTTTCGGGCAATATTATCTGCTCATATTCAGCCAAATGCTTCACAACTCATTGGACGCTTCACAGTGCAGATGGACAATGACCCAAAGCATACTGCAAAAGCAACCGAAAGAGTTTTTTAAGGGAAAGAAGTGGAATGTTATACAATGGCCAAGTCAATCACCTGACCTGAATCCGATTGAGCATGCATTTCACTTGCTGAAGACAAAACTGAAGGGAAAATGCCCCAAGAACAAGCAGGAACTGAAGACAGTTGCAGTAGAGGCCTGGCAGAGCATCACCAGGGATGAAACCCAGCGTCTGGTGATGTCTATGCGTTCCAGACTTCAGGCTGTAATTGACTGCAAAGGATTTGCAACCAAGTATGAAAAAGTGAAAGTTTGATTTATGATTATTATTCTGTCCCATTACTTTTGGTCCCTTAACAAGTGGGAGACACATATGCAAACTGTTGTAAATTCCTACACCGTTCACCTGATTTGGATGTAAATGCCCTCAAATTAAAGCTGACAGTCTGCAGTTAAAGCACATCTTGTTCGTTTCATTTCAAATCCATTGTGGTGGTGTATAGAGCCAAAACAAATTGTGCTGATGTCTCAATATGTATGGACCTGACTGTAGACCCTATTACAGGGATGGCCAGGAAAAGGTTAAAGGATGGCCTCCAGTTGAGAGGATGAAGCAGATAAAACCCAGGTCTCTAAATTTTAAAAGGAAACTATTGTATATTTTTAAGTAAGTACACCTTTTTCAATCAATATTGTAAAGTTAAAGTGTACCCTGGAACAGGGGCGGACTGACAACTCATGGGGCCCCCGGGCAATAGGGGATCATGGGGCCCCTGTGTCCTTGCCCAAACTCAAAAAAGCCTATGAAAAAGGTACCAGGGGCATCTCATGGGGCCCTTTACTGACCCCGAGCCCTCGGGCGGTGCCCGAGTTTCCAAATGGTCAGTCCGCCCCTGCCCTGGATAGTGTCGTTTTTGTGTATTCGCCCTAGAAAATGCCCACATGTGATGTTGAGCCTCCACAATTAAAGGGACTGAGATCCAATGAATGAACGGGGGTGGTCAGGGACAGTCGGGCTGGGGAGGAAAGAACTAGATGATGCTGGACGTCCTCCAGCCAGGGAGTGAGGCGGGCTCTATCTGACTTGCTGCAGTTTCTAATGCACACTGTATATAGAGCCAAGAAATGGTAACTGTGCGTGTAATCTTTAATATGTATGCATACACACCTGGAGGCCATCTTAAAAATTATCAGCTTTAGTTTTTGTGTATTTTAGTTCCTTGTATTCTAATTTTCATGCCGGTTTCTTAAAGTGAAACTCCAGCTATTGCCACTACAACAGAAAGTGTTAAGAAAATCCAGTATTGTGCCGTTGTCACTGAAACAGAAGGCGAGGCGTAATCTTCCAGTAGACACATTGGGGTTGATTTACTAAAGCTAAAGAGTACAAAATCTTTGTACAGCTCCACATAGAAACCAATCCGCTTCCAGGTTTTATTGTCAAAGCTTAACCACTTGCCCTCCAGAGGATTCCCCCCCCCCTCCTTCCTTCCTGACCAGGCCATTTTTTGTGATACGGCACTGCATTACTTCAACTAACAATTGCACGGTCATGCAACACTGCACCCAAATTAAATTTACTCCCTTTTTTTCCTACAAATAGAGCTTTCTTTCTGTGGTATTTGATCGCCTGTGCGTTTTTGGTTTTTTTTTGTGCTGTAAATAAAAACATACCGACAATTTTGAAAAAAAAAAACCTATATTTTTGACTTTTTGCTATTAAACATGTCCAGTAAAAAAAAATGTTAAAAATCAAATGTCAGTATAAATTTAGGTCAAAATGGATTCTGCTCCATGTCTTTTGCTAAAGAAAAAATCCCAATATGTGCAAATTAATTGTTTTACGTGAAAGCTATAGTGTTTACAAATGGAGGTATATATACTGGAATTTTTTTTTTTACTAGTATTGGTGGCGATGAGCAACTTATAGCGGGACTTCGGCGGGCATTCTAACACTGGGGGAGAACTGACTTGGTGTCACTGACATCCCCAGTGACCCCAATACAGTGATCAGTGCTAATAAGCGTTGACACTGTACTAATGGCACTGGGCATGAAGGGGTTAACGTAGGGGCAATCAAAGGGTTAACTGTGTGCTGTTTTACTATGTGGGCTGTGTGTGCTTTACACTGTAAGCACACCGCTTTGTATGGCTGTGCATAGCAGAGCCATACAAAGCAGTGTTAAGGAGCTGACGGGAGAGGTACAGGTCTCTCCCCCCATCAGTGATACTCGGAGGTCACCGGGTGCCAGCGGGGAATCACTGGCCAGGACCCGATGATTGAAAGCCGAGCCCTCGAATGGAGGCGCAGGTAGGGGCACGCACGCACCCCCTACCTGGAACTGTAAAATCACGTGTGTGTGTATGTATCTGTGCGTGTATATGTATCTGTGTGTGTGTGTGCGTATCTGTGTGCATGTGTGTATATGTACGTGTGTGTGTATGTATGTATGTATGTGTATATATACAGTGGGGCAAAAAAAGTATTTAGTCAGCCACCAATTGTGCAAGTTCTCCCACTTAAAAAGATGAGAGAGGCCTGTAATTGGCATCATAGGTAGACCTCAACTATGAGAGACAAAATGAGAAAAAAAAATCCAGACAATCACATTGGCTGATTTGGAAAGAATTTATTTGCAAATTATGGTGGAAAATAAGTATTTGGTCAATATCAAAGGTTCATCTCAATACTTTGTTATATATCCTTTGTTGGCAATGACAGAGGTCAGACGTTTCCTGTAAATCTTTACAAGGTTGGCACACACTGTTGCTGGTATGTTGCCCCATCCTCCATGCAGATCTCCTCTAGAGCAGTAATGTTTTGGGGCTGTCGCTGGGCAACACGGACTTTCAACTCCCTCCAAAGGTTTTCTATGGGGTTGAAATCTGGAGACTGGCTAGGCCACTCCAGGACCTTGAAATGCTTCTTACGAAGCCACTCCATTGCCCGGGCGGTATGTTTGGGATCATTGTCATGTTGGAAGACCCAGCCACGTTTCATCTTCAATGCCCTTGCTGATGGAAGGAGCTTTGCACTCAAAATCTCACGATACATGGCCCCATTCATTCTGACCTGTACATGGATCAGTCGTCCTGGTCCCTTTGTAGAGAAACAGCCCCAAAGCATGATGTTGCCACCCCCATGCTTCAAAGTAGGTATGGTGTTCTTTGGATGCAACTCAGCATTCTCTCTCCTCCAAACACGACAAGTTGTGTTTCTACCAAACAGTTCTATTTTGGTTTCATCTGACCATATGACATTCTCCCAATCCTCTTCTGGATCATCCAAATGCTCTCTAGAAACTTCAGATGGGCCCGGACATGTACTGGCTTAAGCAGGGGGACACGTCTGGCACTGCAGGATCTGAGTCCCTGGCGGCATAGTGTGTTACTGATGGTAGCCGTTGTTACGTTGGTCCCAGCTCTCTGCAGGTCATTCACTAGGTCCCCCCGTGTGGTCCTGGGATTTTTGCTCACCGTTCTTGTGATCATTTTGACCCCACGGGTGAGATCTTGCGTGGAGCCCCAGATCGAGGGAGATTATCAGTGGTCTTGTATGTCTTCCATTTTCTAATTATTGCTACCACAGTTGATTTGTTCACACCAAGCTGCTTGCCTATTGCAGATTCAGTCTTCCCAGCCTGGTGCAGGTCTACAATTTTGTTTCTGGTGTCTTTCGACAGCTCTTTGATCTTTACCATAGTGGAGTTTGGAGTGTGACTGTTTGAGGTTGTGGACAGGTGTCTTTTATACTGATAACAAGTTCAAACAGGTGCCATTGATACAGGTAATGAGTGCAGGACAGAGGAGCCTCTTAAAGAAGAAGGTACAGGTCTGTGAGAGCCAGAAATCTTGCTTGTTTGTAGGTGACCAAATACTTATTTTCCACCATAATTTGCAAATAAATTCTTTCCAAATCAGCCAATGTGATTGTCTGGATTTTTTTTCTCATTTTGTCTCTCATAGTTGAGGTCTACCTATGATGCCAATTACAGGCCTCTCTCATCTTTTTAAGTGGGAGAACTTGCACAATTGGTGGCTGACTAAATACTTTTTTGCCCCACTGTGTGGGGCAAAACTACTAATCACTAATATATATATACAGTATATATATATATATATATATATATATATATATATATATATATATATATATATATATATTATATTAGTGATTAGTAGTTCTGCTATAGGGCGGCGCAGAAGAGGTTAATTGAACAAGCTGAACGTAGACGCTGATTGGCTATCTCCAGTTTTAGTAAATCACCCCTATTCTGTCTTATCTGTGGGATAGGAAATCAGATTAAATCTCCCCACTTTGGTCATAGACAGCAATAAAAACTTGACAGGGGTTCTAACATCCACCACTCTAACCTTAACTGGAAAAAATGTTTTGGCTGGAGTTCCACCCTAACATACAGATTTTTAGCCCGGCCCCCCCTTCCCTAAAATCTTTGTGTTTTTTTCAAAGGGGCATCAAAGAGCATGGCTGAATCTGATAACGAGGAGGAAGGGACAAGCCACAAGACTCCACTCCCCAGCCAAGTACTTAGACTATTAAAGGAAAAAAAAATGCCACATCTCAGCTTATCAAACGAACAGCTGGAAGTAAGTATGGTGTTTTTCAAAAGATAATTTGGAGCAAGACCTGGGGCGCCTCCAATGGATTCCCTTAAATTGCAAGGATTTCCTGTTTTGGCTATGGGACAGGAAGTGAAGGGAAATTTCCCCAATGGGACATGGATGGCAAAAAAAAATTACAGGGTCTATGGCCCTTCCTTACTCTATCCAAAAAAAAAAGGTTTGCCTATAGCTCTACTTTAAATGCAAGTGGTGAAATTACCTAAATTTGACCTTTCATCAGCCTCTTGGAAGGAAGAAGCAGCAAAAGGGGGAAATAGTTTTTGTGCTGACAAGAAGCATGCTGAAAGGAGGAGAAAGCAGGGTGACAGATTCATCATTGTGCTGCTTCTCCTCTTTCACTGTCCAGTTCCAAGCTGGGGGTAGGTTCAGAACAACCTGGACTCCGAGGAAGTGGGTTACATGATGCTGTCTGTCAGAGTGAGGACATCTTATGGCAGAAAAAAGTACTGGACAGGAAATCTCCGAATTGAAGCAAATATTGCAGCAAAAGCGTTTTTTTGTTATTTTTATCTTTTATTGGGTTATTTGTTGTTCTCTTATTTTTGGCAGGAGTTCTGCTTTAAGATTTAACAACAACTGTGTAATTCCGGAACCAGCATGGTTTTTTTTTGATCGATGAGATCACCGATTTGTTTTGTTCCTGTTTAATCCCTGCTTTCTTGTCTCCAGGCTGTTTGTGCTCAGGACCCCCGGTTGCCTTGGCAGTGGACTTAAACTGCAGTTTGCAGGACGCCCAACAGATGCAGACCGTGTGCCAGGAACAGCTACAGCTGCGGTATGAGCAAGTGCAATGTATGAACTCTCTGGCAAGCAGTACTGCGAACAAGAGGAAACATCAACCCTGAGGCACTGGGGGAGGAAACCAGGACGAGGTCACACATTGGGTGTGACACGGCCTACATAGTGCTAGTTGACCAACATGCCCCAGCAAGACAGGTCACATGACTCAGTATGAACTGCAACCAATGATTTTACATGCCTGCCGCAGGTTTTGCCAAGCAAAGCATTTAGGCTCTTAAAGGAAGCTTGGACTTGGCAAAATATATAGGCAGCCATTGTTGACCTTCTGAAATATGCTCAGTGCCTGGTGGTGATCCAATGACTTCAATGGTTTCTGAGTCAGTTATCCAGAACTCAGATTTGGAGTTCTGACTTTATTTGCTTCATAATTTTTCAGTGCCAGTAAGCATTGAAACTAGAGAAGAAAAGGCTCTTGGCATTTTCAGCTCACATAGTCTCCTATTACAGATTTAATTTAAAGGATAAGTGCACTTTAACCACTTGCCCTCTGGAAGATTGTACCCCCTTCATGACCAGCCCATTTGTTGCTATTTGGCACTGTATGGCTTTAACTGACAATTGCGCAGTCATGCAACACTGTTCCCAAATGAAATTTATACCATTTTTTTTTTTCCACAAAAATAGAGATTTCTGTTGGTGGTATTTGGTCACCACTGGGTTTTTTATTTTTGATATATAAACGTAAAAGAAAGACCAAAAATGTTTTTACTTTTTTTTTAATATCCAATTTTAATTTTTCTACTTTCCAATAAGATAAAAAAAATCATATTTATTTCTTCAGAAATTTAGGGAAAGGTGTATTCGTATTTTTGGTAAAAAAAAATCCAAATAAGTTAATGATTGGTTTGCGCGAAAGTTATAGCATCTACAAACTATGGTTTATATTCTTGAATTTTTTATTAATTTTTCTTTTATACTAGTAATGGTGGCAATCGGCAGCTTATATTGGGACTGTGATAGTACGGCGGGCAATCTGACACTAACTGACCTCTCCCGTGACACTAATACAGTGATCGGTGCTGATAATATACACTGTACTAATGACACTTTCCTGGAATAGGTTAACATCTAGGGGCAATTAAAGGGGTGATTACCTAACAGTGCTTGGTGCATTCACATGTGTCACACACCTACACATCCCCGCTGACAACAGAGCTCTGTGTTGTTTACATTCACAGAGCTCTGTCCTGTCTTTGTCTTCACTGATCAGCGGGTCCCGGCCATCAATCATTAGCCAGGACCCGCTGATCGGCTTGTGCTGTAGGCACAGCCAGGGTGGCGGGCGTGTGCTCCCCCTACCCAGAAGAGCTGGATCCCATATCAGATATGAGATCCAGTGGAGGAGAGCCACTCTGCCACTCATACGTGAGGAAGTCAGAAGGCGGTTAAAGTGGCATTCCAGTGACATCACCGCTCAGGCTCTGCAGCCCTTGTCAGGGATCTCTCCTCTGCACTGAAGTCAGTGCTGGAGAGATCATGTGACCGGACCAGAGCGACTTTGAATAGGTAAGTAAAGACTCCTCTCCTTTACAGGGTAGATAGAATAGCCTCAGAATGGGGGTGGGAGTAGGTTTAAGCCCCTTTCACACGGGCGTTCCATATGTCCGTTTTTCATCTGTCCGTTTATGGATGAAAAACGGACCCCCGTGTATTTGGACTTGCGGATGTAAACGGATGAACATCTTTTTACGTCCGTTAATGTCCGCATCCGTTCACATCCTTTTTTTTGAACGGAAGAAAATCCTATTTTTCTTCCGCAAAAAAAAAAAAAAACAGATCGGATGAAAAACTGATGAAAACAGATCAAAAACGGATGTAAACAGACCAAAAACTGATGTAAATGGATTGAAAGGTAAGAAAAACGTATCTAAGGGGATGAAAACAGATGTAAACGGATGAAAGAACGGATGTAAACTCATCTGTTTTTTTCTTTGAAAAACTTGACTGAACTGAAGAGAAAGCAGAACGCCCGTGTGAAAGGACCCTTAAGCTTTGTTTTAATGTGGAAGTATAGTCAAATCTTAAGTCCACTTATCGTTTTTGCCCTACCTAAGCTAACTCTCTCCCTCTTCCCCTCCACAGATGTATACTTTACTTGAATCTGACAGCCATGTCCTCGGGTGTTTGTTTAGAATTTGGCTGTGTCTGTGTTTTACAACCCCATAGGGGTTGATTTACTAAAAGCAAATAGCTATAGGAATTTGCCCCAGAGCTTAGTGAATGTGGTGAAGTTTCCCTTTTCAAAGAATTCCCAATTACATGCAAGGATGATGGAAGTCAGCAAGGCTTCTCCTCATTCATTACGCTTGGGGGCAAATTCCCATGCAAAGTGAGCAATCCTATTTGCCTTTATGAAAGGGAAATGTTACCCACAACTTGATAAAAAAAATTGTTGTTTAGCAAGTAACATCCACTCACCGGCCTCTTTATTAGGTCCACCTTGCTAGTATCGGGTTGGGCCCCCTTTTGCCTTCAGAACTGCCTCCATTCTTCGTGGCCTAGATTCAAAAAGGTGTTGGAAACATTCCTCAGAGATTTTGGTCCATATTGACATGATAGCATCACACAGTTTCTGCAGATTTGTCAGCTGAACATCTATGATGCAAATCTCCTGTTCCACCACATCCCAAAGGTGCTCTGTTGGATAGAGATCTGGTGACTGTGTCTGTTCACATATTTGCGGATTGGATGCAGTTTGAACCGCATCCAATCCGCATGACATGTGAAATAACATTGCTTCCTATGGTGCTCTGCAGAGAAATACAAAGCAGCATGTCCTTGCTGCCAAGAGAGAGACCTGTGTTGTTTACACACAAGTCTCTCCCCTGTCCGCTTTCCCTGATGATCGCCAGGTGTCGGCAGAGAATCTCTGGCCCGGGACCCAGTGATTGATATCCCTAGCCACCAATGGCAGGGCAGGTAGGGCAGCGTATGCGCCCCCTACCCGGAAATGCAAGTCACATATACAGTGGATATAAAAAGTCTACACATCCCTGTTAAAATGTCAGGTTTCTGTGATGTAAAAAAAATGAGACAAAGATAAATTATTTCAGAACTTTTCCCACCTTTTAATGTGACATATAAACTGTACAACTCAATTGAAAAACAAACTGAAATTTTTAGGGGGGGGAGTAAACATAAACTAAAATAATGTGGTTGCATAAGTGTGCACACCCTCTTATAACTGGGGATGTAGCTGTATTCAGAATTCGGCAATCACATTCAAAATCATGTTAAATAGGAGTCAGTACACACCTGCCTCATTTTTAAAGTGCCTCTGATTAACCCCAAATAAAGTTCAGGTGTTCTAGTCGGTCTTTCCTGACATTTTCTTAGTCGCATCCTACAGCAAAAGCCATGGTCGGCAGAGAGCTTCCAAAGCATCAGAGGGATCTCATTGTTAAAAGGTATCAGTCAGGAGAAGGGTACAAAAGAATTTCCAAGGCATTAGATATACCATCGAACACAGTAAAGACAGTCCTCATCAAGTGGAGAAAATATGGCGGAACAGTGACATCACCAAGAACTGGACATCCCTCCAAATTTGATGAAAAGACGAGAAGAAAACCGGTCTGGGAGGCTGCCAAGAGGCCTACAGCAACATGAAAGGAGCTGCAGGAATATCTGACAAGTACTGTCTGTGTGGTACATGTGACAACAATCTCCCGTATTCTTCATATGTCTGGGCTATGGGGTAGAGTGGCAAGACGGAAGCCTTTTCTTACAAAGAAAAACATCCAAGCACAGCTAAATTTTGCAAAAACACATCTGAAGTCTACCAAAAGCATGTGGGAAAATGTGTTGTGGTCTGATGAAATCAAGGTCGAACATTTTGGCCATAATTCCAAAAGATATGTTTGGTGCAAAAACCACACTGCACATCACCAAAAAAACACCATACCCACCGTGAAGCATGGTGGTGGCAGCATCATGCTTTGGGGCTGTATTTTTTTTTTTTTTTTCAGCTGGAACTGGGGCCTTAGTCAAGGTAGAGGGAATTATGAATAGTTCCAAATACCAGTCAATATTGACACAAAGCCTCCAGGCTTCTGCTAGAAGCTGAACATGAAGAGGAACTTCATCTTTCAGCATGACAACGACCCAAAGCATACATCCAAATCAACAAAGGAATGGCTTCACCAGAAGAAGATTAATGTTTTGGAATGGCCCAGCCAGAGCTCAGACCTGAATCCGATGGAAAATCTGCGGGGTGATGGCCTCACAATCTGACAGATTTTTAGTGTTTTTGCAAGGAAGAGCGGGCAAATATTGCCAAGTCAAGATGTACCATGCTGATAGACTCCTCCCCAAAAAGACTGAGTGCTGGAATCAAATCAAACGGTGCTTCAACAAAGTATTCGTTTAAGGTTGTGCACACTTATGCAACCATATTATTATTTTAGTTTTTTTATTTTTACTTCCCTCTACCTAAAAGATTTCAGTTTTTTGCTCAACAGAGTTGTACAGTTTATAGGTCACATTAAAGGTGGAAAAAGTTCTGAAATTATTCATCTTTGTCTCATTTTTTTACATCACAGAAACCTGACATTTTAACAGGGGTGTGTAGACTTTATATCCACTGTATATACTTGATTTTGCACAGCCCTGCTGCCCTGTAGCAGTAGTTCTTCTGTAAGGCGGTGGGAAAGCGGTTATACAGTATAGATAGATTATTTGTAATGTTTCACAGAACTATGTATACCTGCAAAAGGGGTCAGAATGAAGGGATCTAGCAGTTCCATTTTAAATCGACCATATAGACTTCTATAGGGCTATCTTCCTTTGTCTCTGGCTATGGGACACAGACCCATAAAAGTAACTCTGGGGCACAACAAGGACAGAGAAGACCTGTGGCAATGGATGTAAACAATCCCTGGAGGGGAAATTGAGGCAAGTATTTATCTATGGAGGGGGGGGGGGGGGGGGGTGGATCAGATCAGGGCAGAGAGGCAAAAAAAAGATAAATTCACTTTGTCCTAAAGTGCGCTTACCTTTTTAAAATATATATGCGCGGGTTCAGTAATCAATAACAACCAGCTTTCAT